CATAACCATGCAATTGGATCATTACGTTTTACACCATGGGATGGAACCTTAGCTGGCTAGCTGTGTTAGTATATATAATAGGTAAAGAACCCATGCATTTCCATTAGAATTCTGAAGCCATGGTTAAAGAAGTGGCAATTAATGCGACATCTGAAACTCGATCAAGCAGGAATTAAACCAGCAGATAGATGCCGGCGGTCGTCTTCCTCCATGCAATCCCCAGCAGCAGAGCCGTTTCGGTTACTCGTCGACTCTGGTCGTCTCGTGGCTTAATTGTGCTGTGCATGGCAGAAGCGTCGCAGTTGTTCCCATTCGCTTCTTGCTGCAGTCGATCAGCTCCCAAGTATCTAGTTGAAGAAATGCCATAGCAGTATCAAATCAAGCGCTGAATAATACTCTCTATTTTTAGAGCGACACACTAGCATCCTTGTTGGCATTTTATTATGCCTTGCGTAATGAAGCAAGTGTCCAGCTCACTTTATTGCATTCCGATCGATTGAAACATAAGCACGATGTAACAGTTAAATTTTTTAATAAAAATATTCCACATGCACACCAACACGACACCATAACCTTTTTATATTTGAGGTTTCAACGATTGCAGACAATACCTTGTAATTTTGATAATTACACCTACCTCCCTTACTTGCCTGAAATTTCTATCTAAGCCTTTCGAAAAAAAAAAAACCAGATATATACTGGGTGTGTTAGGATACAAAAATTATTTTATTTGTATCATAAACACATTTTTAACTGTCTTCAGATCATAAAAAATGTTATAGTAATTATTTCAAATAATATTTCAAAGAAAATTATGCCTAGCAAAAAGATGTGATGCAAACGACATTCCAGTAGTACTTGAAGATGGTTTTTCCTTGACTAATTAATGCTTACCCAAAAAAAAAAAAACCTCCTCGAATTGTAGGATATTCTTTTTTATTTTGAAAATGGCAACGATTTCATATCACTTGAAATAATAATTACATATAGCCTTTTGGTTGACTTATGAGTTAGGAGTCCGATATGTGGAAAGAAGTTGGTCTTAATTTTCTGCTAAATGTGGGGATATGAACGAGTCTAATTAAGTCAGTGTTCAAATTTATTGGATTATTTGATAGAGTTTGAAATTTTGTTCAAACTTGATTTGTTTAACTATCGAGCTATATTCAAATGAACTTTGAGTTTTTTGCTTATAAATTTCAAATTTGTGCTAATCAAGCCAATTTTGAATTTAGCGCGAACAGTTATTGAATGCAAACTATTATTCAAGTTTTGTTTGATTAGTTGGTAAATAAAATTTGAATAAGTTCTTATCGCGGCAAACCTGATTCAAGTATTAGTTTGGTTCGTCTTTCAGCGCTAGCCAACATAAATTAGTTATTTCTGAAAATCTATGGCTCGATCATTTCTTAAATTATGGTCTTATCCCAAATTTCGTTTATCTACTACTAGTACTAACGATGTCGTTAATAAAGCAATATGTATAGGGAAATCAAATTCCATTACTAAGACAATTAGCTTTGTTAACGACTTAAAAATAAAAAATAAATTATGGTCTTATCCCAAATTTCGTCTATGCTTTCGAAAAATGACACCATTATCTTTTTCCGTAAGTTTAGAAAATGACATCCGAAGTAAAATATTGAAGCGCAGGAGTATAATCGACATCAGCTGCCAACCAGGTTTTGATAGAGAAACTACTTTGACAATTACTACGACAATTAACTTTGTTAAGGGCTTAAAAAGGGGAAATTTTTTTTGTTGATGGGCCACCATGAACATAAATAACAAGGACTGACTTGGGTTTGTTGAACAGGAAAAAGTTTTAATGTTGCATGAGTTTTGTGGAAGTCAATCATGAAATTAATACTATCTAAAAACCGCAGATTGTAAATTTATTTCGACAAAAAATCAAAAAAGAAAGATTGAAAGAAAAGAAAAGGTGTTGAGTGAATTAATTTCCTACATTGGATACACGAGAAACACGCACGAGTTTAGCCAATCGGAGAGGGTTTCATCGGGAGGATTGAAAGCAAATCATGGCCACGTCTGTGAAGTGAATTTTTTGGATGTTTGTTTAAAACTTTATTATATCTTACTGTATAAGTTGCAGAAAATTGTTTTGAAACTTATAAATTTTTGAATATTTTAAAGTGTATAATTTAAAAATCATGAAAATTTTTTGATGTTACCGTAAATAAAATTGTTAAAAAACTTGTGACAGACAAACTTTCTTGCCAAACAAGGTCAATGGTTTGCATCGAAAAAAAAAAAGAAAAAAATCGAAAAAAAAGACAAAGCAAACTATGGGTCGGTTGAAATAAGTTAACATTAAACAATTAGTAGTATACTACTTTAGAAAATGAAAACGCCAAACAAAAAAAAAAAAAGTGGGGACAAAAACATTTACTAATAAAAAATAGGGCTAAATGCAGAAAACTCCCATGAACTTTCATACCAGTTGCACAATACACCCCGAAATATGTTTATACATACTTTGTACCATAAAAAAACGGCCGTTCACACATTTCACGGTAAAACAAAGCGTGTGGCTTGCACTTTCTATTCGTTGAATTTGCTGACAGAATTGCCCTCTTTCCAACTAATATAAACGTTTCCCCCACACAAACTCACAAATTTGTATTGTATCGTTGCCTCTCTTATCCCATAACTACTTTTCATCATATGCCCCGATAAATGTACTGCGTAAATACGTCACGTGTCACCAAAATTTCTTTCAAATCTTAAGTTAAAACTCAAATTCAAGTTCGAATTTGATAAAATTAAGTTGAACTCCACTCAATGAGGTTAAAATTTTATTAAACTCGTTTGCAACTTTATTTACAACAAAAAAGGAAGACATATTTCAGTTTTTTTCTTAATGGAGAAAATTTTTTTTTTAAAAAAAAACATAGTGACCTTTTTTAATATAAAACTCATGAAATTTTGGCTTAACAAAGAAGCTTCTTTAAATTCAAAATATAAAACCATGCTGTTGAACGAACAAGATAAAGAAAAAAGGGTAATCCGTACCTATAATGTTGAAAAAACAAAAAATGTCTGTTATATTCTTGTGAGAAACACCCAAACTTATGTTTGTTCTTTCATTTCCTTTTTCCTAAGAGTAGCAACATACCTCAATTTAGTCTTATTAACGTTTTATTGGCCTGGTTATAATTTTTTTTCTTGCAGAATATGAAACCAATTTTGCTAAGCTGGTTTGGAATTTGGAGTTTTAGTTTATACTTCATGCTACATTGTAAAAATGAAAAATGAAATTATTTACATATTTTCCTTTTTACCATGGTAAAGTTCATTTTTACAGTTTCATAAAATCCAGCAACAGACAAAATCACACCTCACACATAGTCACACACTCCACACTGCCATTCTTAATGCATTTTTTACTTTCCAGTCCTTCTATCTCCTCCTCTTCCTCCACACTCCGTCCCTTCCTCATTACACCTTAACAAACCCCATAAAACGTAAATAACCACCATCAACATCACTGGTCGCCCGCCCTAATACAGCCATTCCTACTCCTCAAACATGACAAGACTAAAACCCCATGTAGCATTTTCCCTTCCTTTTCTCTTTAGCTTCTGCTTCTTTAAGCTCGACGCCTTCGAAAACCCAGATTTAGCTCCGCTCTTAGCCTTCAAGTCCTCCTTAGACTACTCCAACACCTTCTCTCAATGGATCTCCAAAATTGACCCATGCATGTGGCCAGGCGTTTCTTGCCTTCGTAACCGGTTTAGCCGCCTTGTTCTCGAAGTCCTCAATCTCAAGAACTCCTTTGAACCCCTCACTCGCTTAACTCAGCTCCGAGTTCTCAACCTCAAATATAACCATTTCTCCGGCCCCATTCCTAACCTTTATCGCCTTCACAGCTTCTTCATATGATAGTCACTGTTCCACCTCCGAATCGTCCGCCCCACCACCCAACCCCGACCCGTTTGAAATACCTCTCAAACTCCGGCACCTCAGTCGCCTTTCTTAGCCCCGTTCGGCTGGCGGACTCAGACTCAGCGAAACCCTCCTGAGCAAAATACTCCTCCAACTCCTCGTACATCCCCGAGTCAAGCATTTCGTCAACTCGCTTGTCTAGGTACTCGTTGAGAATGGGTAGTGAAACGTCTACCCATAGGAAGCAGCAGCTGTAGCGAAGCTTGGAGGACACTGAGTTAATCGCATTGGACTTGTCAAAGACGTCGGTCTCCGAGTTATAGTGCTTCACCAGCAGGGAGTAGATGAAGGAGTTGGACCCGCTGACGATGAGCGGGAGGTTTCGCCTAGAAGTTATATGCGCAATGGTTTTTGGAGCAAGTTCGCGGAAATCGGACAGGGTGAACTCAGTTTGCCTTGTACTTTTTGCCCGACACAATAGGTTTGATTGGGATGAAGGGTGCTCTTGTCAATTCAATTATTATCCGAGGATAAAGTTGACATTTGTGTGATAAAGTAAACGGTGCGTAGAGATTCGGTACTTTTTAGTGGAGCCTGGGTGTAAAGTGTGTATAAATATATTTCGGGATGTATTGTGCAACGGCTATGAAAGTTCACGGGATTTTCTGCATTTAACCCTAAAAAATAATAATAACTTTGAAAAGTCACGAGTAAGAGACCCACAGCAACCCCCCAGCCAACGGGCACCACCGTTTGCGTCTCGTAAGTCGTAACTTTACTTGCGTGGACTCATAACGCTAACACGACTGGGTAATCGTAACATGGGCTGTCCGCTCCAAGGTGGAAATTTTTACCAGAGAAGAAGATAATATGAAAATGAAGGAGCATCCCATCCATAAATCATAATCCTCCAATCAAATATCTTTTGCACATTCTACTGTTACTACTCTACTGCTGTTTCCATTCTCGTACGTATGCTGCCTGCTAGTACTACTTTTAGAAATAGTGGTGGCACTTATTTATATATATATATATATATATATATATGTATATATATAGAAGAGGAGGGGCGAGTTAAAGAAGCAAAAAGATACTAGTATACTAAAAGAACTCCAGAGAGGAAAGAAATATCCAAAACCAAAAAATTCGGCCCTTTAAGCAAGTTGTTGATATTCCAACATCCCAAAGCCCTATGCCCTGGTCAACATTTGATTTGATCTTCATTTCTCTCTGCTCACTATTGCCGTCACCATCATCATCTGCAAGCAACTGTCTTCCATTCACATAACATTTCTGGGAAAGAAAGATATTACCAATATATAGGCCAAGTTGGAAGGAAGTCTCCGCGAAGCTTCTTCTGAAATTGGACCGTCTTCTTCTTGTCCGTGGTCGTGGATTGCAGCATATTCTCTGTCTGCAATACAAGTTTTTACTAGTACTATTAGGTAGGTAGTGTTTAGATTTTTTTCCTTCTTTGATTTTGAGTGGTATCTGTTGCACACTTGATTCTGCTGCCCAGGGAAAAGCAAAGCGACAACAAGCTTCAACCGCTCTGCTTCTTTGTTCAGAGTCGGTATTTGTTTTCTCTGTGTTTTTCTTGGTTTTTTACTCAGAACTCTTGCACCTTTCTCTACTTGTGTATTATATCTCTTTCACTTTTGTTTTGAGTATATTTTTATTTTGAGTTTTGCGGATTCCATGAATATATGCTTGCTTTTCATTGATGATTTCTATTTACGATTCCATTTGTTTTAACTCAATTTGTTAACTTATTGTATTTTAGAGTGAAAGATTGATTCTTGTTGTCTGGCAATCTAATATGCACAATATTGTGAGTAAAGACTGCATTTTTTTCCCCTTTGCTTTTTTAGCTTTCTGGGTTGTTTTTGATGTTCTGGCTAATGGCTGCGCGTAAAATATTTGGTGAAAGCTTTTAGAAATCCGGACTTGACCTGATTGGTTTTAATTCTTGTACTTCATTAAACTCCGATAGTTTCCTATTTGTGTTTGAATTTAAGAGAACTTTAGGGTTACAAGACGGAAAAAGACTAAAAAGGAAATGTTAGTTTTAAAGTCTTTCTTGAAATGAACTTTAGGTTAGCTATTGCAAAACGAAGTTCTTTGATAATTGATATAGTGCTGTATGTCTAAGGTTCCACCCATTTGGGATAATTTGCATGCCATTCTACAAATTTTTAACTACTATATTTTTCATTTTTCATCTGCTTTTTCACGCTTCCACTTCATTTTCACGTGCACTTATTTCATCAAATCAAGTTAACAATTATATTTTTCATTTTTTCTTCAGACCACGTGATGTGATTTTTTTTACCACGTCATGTAATTATTCACTGACATATTGAGTTTTCTCAATTATGTTGATAGCTTGCTATTTTTGGGGTAAAAATGTGATATTAGACGTTGCAATTTTCAAGTTGTTTTGCATATGATATATAAAGCTACAAATGTTCCTAACTTGCTGTTTGACAAAATGGTTATAATCTTATAAAGGTTTTGACATCGTCTCAGGGTTCTGGATTTTGCATGCTTTCTTTCTATCAATCACAACTTTTACATCGAGGACTTCTTAGTACCTATGAGAGTTCTGAGGTTGATTATGCATTGATTCCATTTTCACACGTGAGCTGGAGCTATGAATCACCAGCAGGAGAAGTTTGTTAGGTTGGTTGAGCCTTATCTCATTTACTTCTAGTTCTATGATTTTTCTTATTTCTCCAGGTAGCAGTTTTCGTACTGGTTGGTTTCTTCTTGGTTATAACTTCTCAAAGAGGCAAAGAATCAATAGGAGGCAGGAGAGCGTTAGAAGAAGTCGTAGGATATTTATGTTAAGAAGAGAAATGGTTCAGAGATCCCCTTTCCCTATGTAATTTGCTTTCATGGTATCATGATTTGCAACTAGTTAAAGGGTGCGATCATCACCAGTTTAAGTAGGAATACTATGTTATCCTAGAGGTTTATAGCAATATTGAGATAAGTTCTTTATTTGCAGATAATTTGTTAACCCGATTTTGAGTTCCTAGAGGCTTTGAAAGTGGTTTTGAAATGATCAAAAGCTTAGAGCCAAACTATTTTTCAAAGTCTCGGACTTATCAACAAATTTTATATTTAGATCTGCGGTATCTTTCTAAATTAGTCCTTTATACAGGTTCCAGGGTTGGGAATCAATTGCAGGCTCAGAAGGCCAATATGCCAGTAAAGATGTTCTTCATGTTGGAAACTTTAGAACAAAAATAAACTCAGTCTCTGACAAATCTTGTGGAGGCTTTGAGAGTGGCTCTGAAAGGATCAAAAGTTTTAAAGACTCATTGCGATCCTGTTCATTAACTAGCCTTGTGCCTAAAGGCTTCCGATCTAGCAACAGAACTCTTGATCCACAAGGCCTGTTCCTTCAGAAGTGGAACAAGATATTTGTACTCTCGTGTGTGATTGCTGTCTCTTTGGATCCCTTGTTCTTTTACATTCCAGTGATTAATGGCCATAAAAAATGCCTTAGTTTCGATAAAAAGTTGGAGGTCACAGCAAGTGTTTTGCGTTCTTTCACGGACATATTTTACCTCATTCATATTATCTTTCAATTTCGAACTGGTTTTATTGCCCCTTCTTCCCGTGTTTTCGGGAGAGGTGTCTTAGTTGAAGATTCATGGGCAATAGCAAAGAGATATCTATCATCCTACTTTTTGATTGACATTCTTGCCGTTCTTCCACTGCCTCAGGTAAGAGGGATTCTTTTAATGTTGACTATGAGCAGGTTAGGCAGTAGCTCATTGTGGAACTTATATACATGGGTTGAATGAGTAAAAAGTTCTTGTTATGTCTTTGGTATGATGACATTGGAGGTGGTAATGGAGTTTATTATTGGCCGTCTTGTGATCTCATTTTTGTTGTTAGTAGTCTGAATGCTTTTGTGTGCTCAGGAAGATAGACTTCGAGTCATGAATTTCAGTTAGATGGACTTTATGCTAGGAAGCCTTTTTAGAATGCTTAGTTGACCTTCTGTCGTGTGTCATAAAGTATACAGTTTATACTGCTCTGTGTGTGTGTGTGTGTGTTTTTTTGGGGTGGGTGCAAATGGGATGTCTTTTTTGTAGTGAATTTTAAAATGGTGCTAATTCATGGGACTTGCAAGTTAATTTTTTAAATTAAAAACCTTGTCTTGAATAGCTTGAGATGTATGAGTGGATCCTAATCCTGTTGTCACCTTCACAGGCTGCAATGTTGATTGTTATTCCTCGGATGAGGGGTGCAAGATCTTTGAACACAAAGAATATGTTAAAGTTTGTTGTGTTCTTTCAATACATACCAAGGGTTCTTCGTATTTATCCACTCTATAAAGAAGTCACAAGAACTTCTGGTATACTCACGGAAACAGCATGGGCTGGAGCTGCATTTAATCTTTTCTTATACATGCTTGCCAGTCATGTAAGTTCTGTAAGAAAAATTCTTTTTGTTGCTCAAGTTATTCTTTTTCTTTACATGCATTGAACAAATGCAAGTTTTTACTCAAACCTGTTTTTCTTTTACTATTGGTGCCATTAAAATAGTTTTTTCCCCCCGAAATGTTGTGTTTGGCTTTATTTTAATAATCTAATCCAAAGTGAAGCTTATGGCTGTACATTTTCCTTTCCTGTGTGTTTTTAAGTTTAAGTAATGACGAAAAAGTTACAGCATGAAAATTTAGACGCAATCACTATCGGTTGTCCTATTCTGTTTTTTAGTTTTGTAGTTTACTTGTACAATCACCTTCATTTAATGATTCACTTGTCTGCTTTTCAGGTTCTTGGAGCCTTTTGGTACTTGTTTTCAATAGAACGTGAAACCACTTGTTGGCAGAGTGCTTGTGGAAATCAGACTGATTGCATTCATGCATCACTCGACTGTCTTGATGATCACTTACGATTTAAACAGTTTCTAAATGATTCCTGCCCCATACAAACACCAGATACCACACGTTTTGATTTTGGTATATTTCTCAATGCCCTTCAGTCTGGTATAGTGGAATCAATGGATTTTCCTCGAAAGTTCTTCTATTGTTTCTGGTGGGGCCTCCAAAACCTGAGGTACTGCCACTGTAGTTTCTACTTTTCTACTTAAAAGTTCAGTGTGAATGTCAGATCTTCGGATAATAATATGAGAGCTAAGGCAGCATCCCTGGAAAATGTTGGCATTGGCTGTGTTTCACAATAGTATGGTGCCACTTTGGCTGGAGCATTTCTAGTTTGATTGCTTTCATCTCCATCGTTGTCTAATCTATTAATGGTGCCTTAAAAGGAAATCAAATTCGCCATTGGTCACTTTGGTCTCTGACATTCGTTTTTATGTTTTGAGGAACAGAATTTTTGAAAGAATAGTATTTGTTTCTTTTTATTTGTAATCTTCTGGTTTATTTGTTTCCATATCTGTCTTGGTCTTGGAAGAAAGAAAGATGTCCAAACTCCCCTCCCCCTCCTCTCTTTCCTCCAAAGCTTTCCGTTCCTTCAAGTGTTTGCTTTCTTTTCTGCTATGGTATGTCCTAACGGAAGTTCCTTTGTCTAATGAGGCCCATGCAGCTCAGGAGTTATTTGTGTTACTTAAATATAGCCCTTGAAATTCTTGTTTGGAAAGAAACTTTGGGAAACATTTTACTATTTATTTTGGTTTCTGTTTTTTTCTCTCTGTCCATTTTGTGAAGATTTCAATTAGATTGTTTCTTATTATAGCTTAATATCTGGTGTTCAGCTTGGTCTTCCATATTCTTCTTTTTATTGGGTAATTCATCTTGAAATTTACCTTGTGCTGGGTTTAAAATATTTGATTTAAATGGGTGTTGTATTATAATGTTGCTCTAATTGCTGCATGTCCTGAAACTTATCTTAGTTTAGTGTTTGTATTCTATTTATAACTTCTAATTTAGCATTACATATGTTGTTTTGATATCTGCAGTTCTCTTGGTCAGAATCTCAAAACAAGTACCTTTGTCTGGGAAATTTGCTTTGCAGTCTTCATTTCCATCTCTGGTTTGGTGTTATTTTCATTTCTCATTGGAAATATGCAGGTGAAGGGATTACCCATGTTTTTGAGTTTTAGTTGTTAAAATTATTTTTTGTTGCATAACAAGCTCTTGCTTAAAACTGGTAGCAGCTGATATTCTTTGATCATTCAAAATCCCAAGAGCCGTGCCTTTTTTTTCCCCTGAAATTGGTTTACCAGTTCAAGGCTTGGTTTGTTGAATGTGATCTGGGACAGTTTCCACTGAAAAGCGACTTTAGGCTGCATGTCTAGTTTTAGTTTTTAATATATTTTGTAGTACATCGTTTTAGCTGAAGGATTTCTAATTTATAAAAAAAGGAAGTCGGTTTCTGGAAACATTGATCTTATGACTTTTGGGTACTTGTTCTGGGTCCTACTGACTAGAAACACTTATATGCAACAGGCATATTTGCAGTCTACAACATTAAGATTAGAGGAGATGAGGGTAAAACGACGAGATGCGGAACAGTGGATGTCTCATCGTTTGCTCCCTGACAGTTTAAAGGAGCGGATCAGGCGATATGAACAATATAAATGGCAGGAAAATAGGGGTGTTGATGAGGAAAATTTGATTCAAAACCTCCCCAAAGACCTCAGAAGAGATATCAAACGCCACCTTTGTTTGGCTCTGCTAATGAGGGTTAGTTCTTGTCTTTTGCTTTTTTATTCCTTTAATTTCATTTTCTTTCCCTTTCAGAATTAGCATCCTGTCTATCATGAATTTGTTGTGGCATCAAGAAGAAAGTATCGTTCAACTATAAGCTTCCTTTTTTCCGACTTCACCATTTTTAGTAGTTTTTTTCCCTTCCAAATTCTCAGCTAAGTTATCTTAGCTAAAATTTTCCACGGACATGTTTAAATGTATTCAAACAACTAGGAAATTCATTTTTTGTTTCAACTACTAATTTTTTTCCAGTTTTGGACACCGTTGAGTAAAAGAAACTATACCTGATTTTAACTAATACCTGGCAGTCTGTTATATTTCCAATTCCCCCCCCCTTTTTTTTAATTAATCTCAAGATGCTCTTATATCGATTAGCTGCACTAGTTAACTGCCACCTTTTGTTTTGCCCTCTTTATTGTTTACTATTAAGGTTCCAATGTTCGAAAAATTGGATGAACAACTCTTGGATGCATTGTGTGATCGTCTTAAGCCAGTATTATACACCGAACACAGCTTCATTGTGAGGGAGGGTGACCCAGTTGATGAGATGTTGTTCATAATGCGGGGCAAACTGCTAACTGTGACCACCAATGGAGGAAGGACTGGCTTTTTCAACTCTGATTATCTAAAAGCTGGTGACTTTTGTGGAGAGGAGCTGCTTACTTGGGCACTGGACCCCCATTCATCATCTAATCTCCCAATATCAACTAGAACTGTTCAAGCTCTCTCAGAGGTCGAAGCATTTGCTCTAATAGCAGATGATTTGAAATTTGTGGCCTCACAGTTTCGTCGACTACACAGTAAGCAACTTCGCCACACTTTTAGGTTTTACTCTCAGCAATGGAGGACATGGGCAGCCTGTTTTATACAGGCAGCATGGCGCCGCTGTTGTAGAAAGAAGCTAGAAGAATCTCTTCGTGAAGAAGAAAATTGGTTGCAAAATGCATTGGCAAAGAATGAAGGGAGTTCACCCAGTTTGGGTGCCACTATCTATGCCTCAAGGTTTGCTGCTAATGCGCTTCGTGCTTTACGACGCAATGGTGCTAGGAATTCAAGGTTGACAGAGAGAGTGCCACCAATAATGCTTCAAAAACCAGCAGAGCCTGATTTTACTGCTGATAATTAGGTAGAAGGTAATATTGTTTGGTTAAAATGTATATTTGGGGCTTTGCCACAAATGATATTATGTTGTATATGCTTCATATTTGTTTGGTTAATTGTGTATGTTATGTTGTATATGCTTCATATCCATGCAAGGGTAATTTTTCAAGTGAGTGAGTAAGAAATGAATGATTTCCAATTTTCCTCTTTGTTTTTTAAATATTTTCAAGTTATCAATATCGAGACAAGAATGATGTAATGGAACCATTGATGACATCAATGTATTGATAGAAATGTGCATTTATTTGCCAGGAATATCATAAAGATTCAGAATAATATCATGCATGAAGATGAGACAGCTGTTTGAGAAATTTCTCAGCGGGATCACAGAATAAAGTTCTCCTTTTACCTCTGCAGAGGGACACCTCTAAGATTCTGTGCAGTGTTGAAATGGCTTGGAGTATATTTCTCCATTTGTTCAACATGATACAAATTGCAATGCCAAAGCAGAAAAATATTCAGCCATTAGTGCATTTGAAGCGACTAACAGAATAAAATTCAAAAGAAAGAATGACGAGAGTCAGAGAAGCAATTCAATGGGGGCATGAATGGAGCTTGTTTTAGTATAGGAGGCTTCACTGGATAGTGTTTCACATGGGAAAGTTCTTGTAGGCACTCCTGACTTGATGAGCGACTCCAGAACCGGGCAAATAACTGGCACAAGAGCATCACTGCAGATGGACAGGATACCTTCTTGGACATCTGCCAGGTCATCCCGGCTCCACTCCGATGCAAGATCTCCTCTTCCAATCATAATGCCCAAGGATTTGGCATTTTCATTGCCTCCATAAGCAAAGAGGGCAAATTCTCAAATCTACCTCTTGTTTCATTCTTCAGACACAGCACCATCTTCCAAATTTTATGCCTTGCAAGCTCGTGGCACAACATGAGAGCATCACCAGCATCTCGGACAAATGAGGACCCCGTGATGTCAGCATCACAAGCAACGGAGTCCAGACCCATGAGATCCTTTGAAGTTAGACATTCACATTGCAAATTACTCCTCGGGACATTTACAGCTTTCTCTAAGCCAAGGTCTAGTTCGCTTTGTACCAGGATGAATGATCGAAATAACTGTCTCCTGAGTGCCGGTTCTTTTGACATCTATCTTGCCTGCTGTGCGACCAACAAGATGCTGACGAAGCTGAGCTAGTGGCTTGCAAACACACAACAAGAGAGACCCAGGATCGGGGCTTGTCCTCCGGAATGACTCTTCACTCTTTTTTTTGTTTTTTTTGTCATTGTCACTTTAGCTATATTATCCTAATTTAGGGAGATCTAACTGAGCTTACGGGTGATCGATGAAAACTGAACCACCGTCGAAAATGGAAAAGAGAGATTGGTTATCCTTGAAAACGGAAATGGGCCAGTATTTATAACCCAATGGACCAGTACGGATCGCGAGGAAACGAACTACTTCAATGTCATAGGGTGAGCCGTAGGTTAGGTCTTATGCCAGTTGCTTCATTGAGAGGGCTCTATTTCTTGGCCTTCTATTTCCAGATAGTGGACAAGATTTGCGGCAGGCATCAAATTCGTTAGGGTAAAAACATCATTAGTGGTTGCACATGTTAGTTAACCGAGGCAAATGCAAGGTTGCTGAGTTTCTGTTACATAAATTGTGTTTGCAACAAAATGCCCGAGCTTGGTTAAAGGTTACGGCCCCAATCTTGAGCATTTTTGACAGTGCAGCTACAAAACTCAATTAATTTCTGTCGGGAAAAGCTTTAAATATAGAAGCATATATCGGATGACACAAATTTAATTTTGAAGCATCCTCATTCCTCTATGGATCATGGTTCAAAGTCGCGGTCGCAGTTGCGATCGCAGCCCGGATCGTTTCACATCAGTCACGACATATCGGTCACGGTGTCGACGAAACGCGAATTTTTAAAATATTTAATATTCTAAAAATTATAAAAAATATGATAAACAAAAATAATTAAAAATTAATAAAAATAATAAAAATTCAAATTGAGTCGGGGGGATTCGGAGTGATTCGGTGTGACTCGACCGTTTCAACTATTCACAGTGGCATCTCGGTGAATCAAATATCTCGGAATCGTATTGTCCCGGTATCGTATCGAGAGTTAAAAACGGTGAGGACTCGGCCGAGTCTTTGAACCATGATAGAGCATGTAATCGAAATGCCTTTAGTTTGTCTAGAAGGCTCTTTTGGTTTTCTTGATTCTCATCCTTTTGAGTAGCAGGTGCGGTTGTTTGCAATGGGGAAGTTCCTCGATCACCTGGAGGTGGCTTGTTCCATGTGAACCGTTTAACTTTTCTGAATTGATTGTTGAGACACTGTGATCCTTCTTCTTCAATTCATCTGCAGGGAGGGCATTCGGTTCCTATTCCTTATTAGAACTCGCTCTCAGCACTGACACAAATTCTAAAACTATAAAATAAAGGAGAGTTGCACACAAGAGCTCATAAAACAGTGCGCAAAGTGGGGTGATGAAGTGCGGAAGTAGAGATACATGCGCAGAGAAAGAGACTATGAGAGTTTTTGAGGAACCTGGGTTCCTTCCTCCTAATTAAGTCGTGACTTGAGAATATTGACGAAGTTGGAATACTTTTCTACAGGGTGACAATAACGAAGAAAAAGCGGACTTCTGAGAGTCGAACTCAGATTACAGATAAAAGTAGCTCTTCAAACTTGAAATACCCAAGTAAACAAGAAATGAAGATGGTATAAATTAGAGCATACGAGTAGTGGAAAAAAAAAGTGGATGGATAAATATGAAAAAGATCTTATCTTTCTTCATCACAAGACCCGCCTATGGTAGCAGACAAGCAGTACATGTACATAAATAATTCACCAGTAATCGTTGCAGGAGCATATGCCATTGTTGATATGGTGGAACCGGTTTGAATCCCTAACCAGTATTTCTCTTCCAGTGGCCAGTGATATATATTTCAATGCAGAATGACAATCTCCACATACTCGGAGATTTTTAAATATCCTAATTGGCTTTGGGTGGAACGTGCTTATAAGGCCAAATGCCACGGCTAATTTCTCACTGTGTTGGAATAGATACTGTTCCTTCTGTTCTTCCTCAGCTTCATGAAGAACAAAGTTGGTATTTGGTACATAACCCATCTCCTTTATTTTGACAGCCAATCGATCTAGTTCTTTATAGATTTCCTTGGCTTGTGGATGTTCGGTATCACCTACATAAAACTTGTGCACCTTATTCTCTGCCTCTATCCAGCTACAACCTGCTTCCTTTACCAAATTTCTTGCTCTCATTCCTTTCCTGATATTTGCTACCTTTTCCCATTGACCGCTGGAAGCATACAAGTTTGATAGTAAGACACGTGCTGCCGGATCGTCTGGATCCTGCTCATGGATAATTTCTGCTGCATGTTTTCCTAATTCTACATTTCCATGAACTTGGCAAGCCCCGAGCAATGTCCGCCAGACTAAAGCATCAGCAACAAAAGGCATTGACTTTATGAGCTCAACAGCTCTGTCAAGAAAACCAGATCGACCTAATAGATCAACCATGCATGCATAATGTTCCATCCTTGGACTTATACCATGCTCTTCTGACATAGAATGGAAGTATTTCCATCCCTCGTCTGTCATGCCAGCATGGCTGCAAGCTGATAAAACAGCAACATATGTGACCTCATTGGGTTTGATGCCAGCAGAAAGCATTGCAGTGAACAATTCTAAGGCTCTTTCTGCGAAACCATGTTTTGCGAACCCTGTGATCATAGCAGTCCATGAGATGATACTCTGATCTGACATGTCCCTGAAAACCTGGGAAGCAGCTTCAATGTTACCACACCTGGAATACATGGAGATCAGTGAATTACAAATGTACTCGTTAGACTCAAAACCTGCCTTGAGCAATCGAGCATGAATTTGCTCACCCTTGCCAACTGCACCTACGATTGCTGCTCCACTCAAGAGACTGGCATACGTAAAAGCATCAACCACAACTCCAGAATCTTCAATTCCACTAAAAAGCTCGAAAGCCTCATCAGATTTGAAATTCTTAGCATAAGCATCAACAATTGTATTAAAAGAAACCAAATTCTTTTGAAATAGAACTTCAAATGCTCTTCGAGCATCTTCCAGCTTATCACATCTGGCATACAAGCTAATTAAAGCATTTCCCACACAGTCAAAATACGCTAGACCTAACTTCACTGCATGGCCGTAAACTATCTTACCCATACCCAAACTAGTAAGATTTCCACATGCCTTCAATAGAGCAGAAAAAGTAAAATGATTGGGTTTTACTGAACCCTCCTCCATCATCATGCGATACAAACTTATGGCTTCCCAGTCATCGCCTCCACCCTGGACATAACCTGTGATAATTGCTGTCCAAGACATAACATTGTGAACCGGCATCCGGTCAAAGACCTTCCTCGAGTCACTCATAGATCCATCTGCAGTGCTTTTGGCATACATGTCCACTAGACTACAACCAACACAGACATCTGATGAAAGGCCAGACTTGAGCGCAGAAGAGTGCAATTGTTGCCCAAACGATAACCACTCCAGCTCAGCACAAGCTGATAAAACACTACTAAAAGTGAACTTGTCGGGCACAAATCCAGTCAACACCATCTCCAAGAATAGCTGAACCGCACTTGCAGGATCGCTGATTTGAGAAATCCTAGTAATCATAAGTGTCCACGAAACAGAATTCTTCAGGGGCATTTGGTCAAACACTTTCTTAGCAAGGTTCAAATCATGAAACCCTTTAGAAAACAAATCAATCAATGCACACCCCACACACACATCTGAACCGAAATACCCTGATTTTATCACAATCCCGAAGATCACTAGCCCAATTGAAGCATATTTAACATTTGAACATGCCTGGATTGCAGCCGAGAAGCAGAATTGGTTCGGATGCTCTCCATGTTCGACCATATCAAAGAAGGTAAAAATGGCTTCTAGTTCCATATTACTATGCGCAAAGCAGGAAATAATAGCGCTCCAAGAAACCAAGTCTCTCTTCTCACCCATAGTTTCAAATATGTTTCGAGCAGTTAACCAGTCGCCGTTCTTGGAGTAGAGGCTAATGAGGGAATTGAGCACAATGGAGTCGAGTTGGAGCTTTGAGCCGAGGATCTTAGAGTGAATAAGCTTCCCGAGATGGAAGTTTCGGGTCCGGATGCAGAATTTGAGGAGTACGGAGTAGGATGTGAGGTCAGGGGTGAGGCCATTTCGGGCCATAAAATCCAGGGTGGAGATTGCTCTTTTGATGTCGCCGGCATCTGCATGGCGGATGAGATTGTCCTTGAGAGCTTCAAATTTGGGTTTTGTCTTGCGGTGATGTGTTGGGGAGAGGCTCTGGTGAGAAGGGGGGGTCCTGGGTCTGCGTATGGGCGATTGAAGAGGGAAGAGCTTGGCGGGAGAGGGAGAAGATAGACTTGTCATGATCTTTTAACGCCCGCATCTTTTCTTTTGTTAAAATTTAATAAGAACGTTGTGGTGCGCTCGGTGACTCTTTTCCCTCCTTTTTTTTCTTTCTTTCCTTCTGTATTTTGTAAAGATTACTTTCTGTACACTAACACATCATCATTAAAATTTCTCTCTACACTCATACATCATCATCATTAAAATCTCATGCGTGACAAGAAAGTATGTATAAGATTAATTTATTTTTTAAATCTAATAAATTTTTCAGAGAAGAGTTTTACTTATGTATTATAACAACAAAACTAAACTTAAAAGTACCAACAACTTTATAGCTAAATTGATTAGAACGGATCACTTTTACTAAAATGAAAAATTACGTATTCAAATTCTATTGCTATGTCAGTGGATGATTGATGATTTATGGTTCAGAAAACATTTTTCGTACAAACGACTAATCTATAATGATGGTTTGAACCAAAATCATCCAAACTTTTTCTCACCAAACAAAAGAAACAAACCCTTAAGGACGTGTTAAGAATTTGTTTGGATATCTTTTTATTTTAAATAATATTTCGCTTGCATCATAAATATATTTTTTAATTTATTTTTTTATATTTTTAACTATATTTTTATCTTACATATATCGCATTACAAAAAAATACTACAATAATTATTCCAAATAATACTATCCAAACAAACCCGATTTCCTGCCCAGATCAAAATATCAAAACATCGTACTGTACTTACGCTTTGAATTCAAGAGCAACACCAAAAATTTTCTCAGAAATATAGAGAGATCCATCTAATTAATTTTCAAGAGACCAACTCGACACGACTTCACGGCGTGCAATCCTCCAGTTGTTACTCACCCCAAATGTATGATAATAACAACAAAAATAATAAAAAGAAAAATCGTTAAGTTATCCAGATTACGTAGCGGAGGAAGCTGCCAGGCGACCCCGACCTGCACCCA